CACGTGCCACCAGGGGACATCATATTCATTTAGTATATAAGTAAAGTTATGCGTTTCATATGACTAGAAATGCGACATGTGTCAAGCCAAGAATGGCACATAATAATAATAATAATATTATTATTATTATTATTTTAAATAAATATGATGACTTATTTTTATTTTTATTTTATTTTATAAAATTTTACTAGTATAATAATATTATACTAGAAAACTCAATAATAAAAGTTTTACATTTCATAAAAAAAGAAGATGAAGGCCATGTTTGGTTTGTATTTGTAAAATAGGTTTGAAAAATAATTTTTTGAAAAGAGTTTACAAAATTTGAAAATTTGTTTGGTGGTATGTTTTGAAAATAGTTTTAGAGTTTGAGATGATTTAATTTTTTTTTTTTGTAGTTGAATAGATGGGTGTGAGAGAAAAGTGATTGATTGATGTGTAGGATATAAGAGAAGGAGAGATGAGAGAAAAAAAGTGATTGATTGATGTATAGTAGAAAGAAAAATGATTTTAGATATTTTTTCAAATATTTTCAACCAATTTTTTTTTTTAAAACTTATTAGGTACTCCTGGAATACCATGTGTTCATATTATTTCACCAATCATTATTCATCATGTCCCTTCATGTTCTTCAATCACCTAATACAAAATTACAATATCCCACATTTTTTACCAATCATATACTCCTTTAATGTGAAAATGGAAAAGATGATTGGTAAAAAATGTGGAATATTATGATTTTGTATTGAGTGATTGAAGAACATGAAGGGACATGATGAATAATGATTGGTGAAATAATATGAACACATGGTACTCCGGGAGTACCTAATAAGTTTAAAAAAAAAATTGGTTGAAAATATTTGGAAAAAAATCTAAAATCATTTTTCTTTCTACTACACATCAATCAATCACTTTTTTTCTCTCGTCTCTCCTTCTCTTATATCCTACACATCAATCAATCACTTTTCTCTCACACCCATATATTCAACTACAAAAAAAATTAAATTATCTCAAACTCTAAAATTATTTTCAAAACATACCACCAAACAAATTTTCAAATTTTGTAAACTCTTTTCAAAAAATTATTTTTCAAACCTATTTTACAAATACAAACCAAACATGGCCTTCATCTTCTTTTTTTATGAATTGTAAAACTTTTATTATTGAGTTTTCTAGTATAACGGTACTAGCAATAAACCCGCGCTACATACATATTGAAAATTTTGTATTTTTTAAATATAAAATAAAAATAATTCATCATATTTACTTAAACTCTAAAAAGCAATTTCTATTAAAACAAAAATAGTTCAATAGTTTTAAACTAACTATTAAAACTAACTGCATGCACCCACCACAAATTGGTGTAATTTTACCATAAAATTTTGTAATATCAATCATAAAATGCATAATCTTGAACAAAAATGTTGTAACTAAACCATAAACTTTTGTTATATGAACTACAAAATTGTGAATATTTTTTGCGTTAATTTGTGGCGAAATTACATATTTTGTAGTCAATGTTACGAAATTTTATAATAAAATTACACCAATTTGTAGTGGGGTACATATGATATGCACCCTTAAAGGTGCACACCATAGACCTTCCCGTGTGAGATAACCAATTATTTTTATTTTTAATTGAATTACTTGTGAAACTTTGTGAGCATAAGAACATTAGTAATATTTTAAATTATTACATAGGTTCGTGAAAGTGAATAATATGTTTAATTAAAACTAGTCTTCTATAATTTTTTATTAAGCTAATTGACCTATATTGAGTAATATTTTAATAATTATTTAATTTCTCAAAGAAAAATGATATATAAGTCTACTTTGTAGATTCACTTTTTAGACCTAATGATGTTTAAATAAGATGACCAATCATCAGTCGAAATCTTCCCTAATATTTAGGGTAAATTACACTTTATCCCCTTCAACTATTGGCATTATCACTTGACTCCCCTCAACTAAAAATTTTAACAACTAGCCTCCCTCATCTACTATTTTTATTCAATTTGGACCTTTATGACTAAAAATACCCTTTCATCAATAGGATAAATTACACTTTACCCCCATGAATTATCACCCAATATAACTTTATCCCCTTGACCTATCACCTAATATTACTTTCATTTTGGACCTTTTCATTTTTTCATTTCATCACTAAATTAATTTTTAGTTCTAAAAAAAAAATTAAAAATTTGAAAACCAAACCCAAATAGATATGTGGTATTTGAACAGATAGACAAATAGTTAAGCTTTTGAACAGATAGTTGTCTTTTTGGATAAATATTAAATAATGTCATTTTGACCTAAAAAGATTAAAGCTTTGGCCAATAAACAGTTTCAGAAATAGACCTCTCTTGCCAGAGTGATCAAAGTAAATCACTTTGGTTGATTTTTTAATTTAAAATTAATTAATACAAATTTATTTATCAAATTATTGTGTGTAGAATTTTATTTATTTATTTATTTTGGCTAAGAGGTCTATTTTATATGGCTAAGAAAAGTCATATATCTTCTATATCTATCTATCTTCTAAACTATTATAAAGTGAAGGTGGTGTTGTTGACATATGTGTCTCATATTTTAGGTTTTCCTGAATTTTCCCAAAATACTCTTATATTTGGTGAATTTTGTAATGGTGTTGTTGACATCCAAAATACCCTATACTATTATAAAGTGAAGGTTGGTGGTATTGATATATTTGTGTCTCATATTTTGAGTTTTTCCGAATTTTTCCAAAATACTCTTATATTTGGTGAATTTTGTAATGGTGTTATTGACATCCAAAATATCCTTACATTTGGTGAATTTTGCAAAAATTATGTAAAGAGGAGGAATGGCCTCAAACCCATGACCATAAGTTTAATAAAGAAACTTTTACCACTTGAGCGACTCATACCATATGTATATTTTTTTTGTTATTATTCTTATAATATTATTTCTTCCACATGTTGCATATGAATTGCTTGTGCAAACTGCATATATATATATATATATTGACTCTACCTTGTTTTCCACAACATTCAGCTTATGTTTCTGAAGCAGCATAGTTATTGGTCTAATTTATAGGATTCACTACTTTTGTGTTAAGAGTTTTAGGAGATAAAGTGTTAATGGAATAGTTCTTGCTCTTCTTTTTCTAGTATTTGAAGTTTGGTCACAAAATTTTTTTTTTTTTGGGAAAAGATGTTAAGAGAGTGTTAGAATTTGGCCAAGAAATTGTAAAGACATCACATCGCTTCTTCAATTTTTTTTTTTAATCTCTCGCATCATATAAATTATTTATTTTGATGTTATTTATGATTTAATAAAAAAAATATAAACAAAGTTGAGTTTTTATAAATTAATATTATAAGAATAATAACAAAAAAAATTGTTATTATAATATTAAAAAAAAAAAATTTGAGCAACTCGGTCAATTCGCACCTAACTTGCGTCGAGCTTTGGAAGATAAACTCTGCCATAGATCTTGTTCTTGTTTGTGTTTCAATTCATCCACTTACCTGAAATTTACAATCAATGTCACAACAGAAATTCTTGGACACCATAAATGCTGGTTTATTGTTACTAGCTATCTATTTAGCACAATCATTATTTTGTCAGTAATTCAAAGACTGACTTTCTATTATTTGGAGGTGAATGTGAAGTCAGTTTGCATAAATTAGCATGGTTTTCTTTCTCTTGCTTTTGTAAATCAAATTTGAAATTGCTTTCTAACAGCCATTAGAATCAATATTGAAGTGTTTTTAGAATTTTTCCTGTTGACTACAATCCTCTTCCGTATTTGCAGGAATAGACCACACCATGAAAACCATTCATTCAACCGTTGAAATTGTGAAGAATTTGTATGATTTAACTGGACAAACCGTTGAAATCGTGAAGAATTTGTATGATTTAACTGGACAATGCGTTGGAAATTTCATTAACCTTGATACTAACATGGAAACTCTCAAAAGGAAGACAGAGCAATTGAAAGGCCGAGAGAAGGACATAAATGAAGACGTGAATTATAAGGTGCAGCGGTCAAGGAAAAGACGAAGGGCGGATGTTGAACTTTGGCAAGATGATGTGCGAAGGATAGCAAATGATGTCCAAACTTTGGAAAGACAAGTGCGAGGAGTAAGTTGGATGGCTGTCTACAAACGCGCAAAGTTGGGAAACCGTGTAGTGGAGACTATTCAAGAGGTGGGAAAACAATATGAAAATGGTGAATTTTCTAATCGTTTGCTGCTTGATGATCCAACTTGTGGACACGCCATACCAACAGCGGAATCTTTGGCCGAAACCACAAGTGTAATAAGGAACAAGTTAATGTACACTAAACCTAACCCACTAACCTAACCCACTACATCCACCCCACTAAACCTAACACACTTACCATCTCCACTACCACCCACCACCTCCACTACCATCCACTACCACCACTCACTTAAGAAAAATTGGTGTTCAGGGAATGGAGGGAGTCGGCAAAACAACCATCATGAAACACATCAATAATCAACTTTTGGATGAAACTTGTAACTTTAGTGATGTTATTTGGGTCACAGTATCTGAAACATTCGAGATAAAAAATCTACAAAGACAGATAGCTAAAAAACTGAATCTTAATCTTTCCGATTATGAGGATGAATTATGTTCAGGCTATAGGTTAGCTCTTGGTGATCTTCACCTTCCGGCGGGCGGCAACCTTGCCTTCACCGCCCGCCGGACCCCAACCATGCTTATTGAAATCTTCATCAACTCCATTACCTTCTGGTCCATCACCTTCAACGGCAGGTTCTGCAAGTTCAACCAACCTCCATGGCTCTTCTAGCTCGAAACTCACATCGAATGGCCCTAGTCGCATCACAGAGATCAGCAACAAACCTGTCTCACCTCGCTTTCGATACAGTTCACAACAACCCATGAGATCTATCTTCTTGGCTCGAATCCATGATCACCGAGCTCAACCCTCTTCCTAAATTTCCACCCCCGGTCGACGATCCATTCCTCGCCGCCATAGAATCTTCCTCCACAGTCACATCCGTGGACACCCAAAATCAATACAATCAACAAAACCCCTATGGCAGAATCTTCCAAGACTCATCTTCAGATTACGATCTCAAAGCAATTCCTGGTAAAGCCGTTTATTCCCAAATTTAAGTCGCTTGGAATGGAAGTATCTCCGCCATACAGGCAGGCCCATTGAAGTTTGGGCTTAAATAATTTGAAACATTGAATTCTGGGTATCATCTACCAACTCACCCCAAAGGACATGTTTTCTCAAACTCTTTCTGCTCTTTGCGACACAAATCAAACTCGTTTGTATGGTAGTACATGCAACCGGCATAAGCATCCATCTCCTTTGTGCACCTCTGATGAAGGTCTTTCAACAGGCCAAAGACGCAGCGAGTGACTTGGTGGCCTTTGTCGAGGCATTTCTCGGGGTTGGGATCGTCCTTCTTGCATTTGAGGAAGGCAATGTTTTCGCCTCTGCAATTGATGCCACTAGGGATGTGGGCTGAGTCGATTGAGCCAACTCGTCCGATGGTCCTAGTTGACTCTCAAGAGAACGGTATCAGATTAGTCCAACTCCACCTCCTCTCACTCCCTCCACTGGTGTTCTCTCTCCTGTTCTGTCCATTCAAAGCTCAGTCCGAAATACCACCGCAACAACCGGTGGCGGCTCCCTCCGGCAATCCCTGCTGGGACGCAATCCGCCGCGCCAGATCCGAATCCTCCTCGGGCCAACTCTCCCTCCCGGACCTCCGGTTCATCCACCGCCTCGGCTCCGGTGACATCGGCTCGGTCTACTTGGCTGAGCTCAAGTGCGGCGCCATCAACGGAGCAGCAGTGTTCGCAGCAAAGGTGATGGACAAGAAGAAGACCAAACCCAGCTCTCTCTCTCACAGAGCTCTCTCTCTCTCGGCACCTCTCTCTCAGACTTCCTCCTTTATTTTATTTTTTATTTCCACCACCTCCCTTTCTTTTTTTTTTAAAACCAATATTTTTGAACACCCACCCCACAAACCATGAGCTGTCCATCTTTTTATATCCACCACATGAACAACCGAACCAAATAATTTCCCACCACCCCACGCCAGCACTCACTTCTCTCTTTTATTTATTTATTTTAAATCCTTTTTCACGGACACTTTTTCACCACCCCACACCAGCACTCACTTCTCTCTTTTATTTATTTATTTTACCCACTTTTTCCACGGGCAGTGCGCCAGCCCTTTTCAAATAATTTTTCATTACATTTTTTTTTATTAAAAAAAAAAAAAAAAAATACAATTTTGCACAACCCACTGGGCGACATAATCAGTGATGATGCAGAGGAGCAGCACGCTTACTCTTAGTGCTCCACACCCATTCTTCTTTTCTTTATTTAATCACACCCACATGTTCTCTCTTTCTGCACATGCACATTATCCCCAACCATCCATTCACTTTTGTCCAAATTCAGATTTTCCAGAGGTGCTCCAATTTTTTAGATTTTTCCAAATTCAGATTTTATCAATATATGATACCCATTTTTTTTCTTATTATTATTATTATTATTATTATTATTATTATTATTATTATTATTATTATTATTATTATTATTATTATTATTATTATTATTATTATTATTATTATTATTATTATTATTATTATTATTATTATTATTATTATTATTATTATTATTATTATTATTATTATTATTATTATTATTATTATTATTATTATTATTATTATTATTATTATTATTATTATTATTATTATTATTATTATTATTATTATTATTATTATTATTATTATTATTATTATTATTATTATTATTATTATTATTATTATTATTATTATTATTATTATTATTATTATTATTATTATTATTATTATTATTATTATTATTATTATTATTATTATTATTATTATTATTATTATTATTATTATTATTATTATTATTATTATTATTATTATTATTATTATTATTATTATTATTATTATTATTATTATTATTATTATTATTATTATTATTATTATTATTATTATTATTATTATTATTATTATTATTATTATTATTATTATTATTATTATTATTATTATTATTATTATTATTATTATTATTATTATTATTATTATTATTATTTTTGGGCAGCCTATATACACACTCATACAGTGTCTTCTACACCGGTCAGCTTTATCACTCCCTTTGTTTCAACCTCAAATAGGTTTCTATCTTCACACCTATTTGAGTTTGAGGGGGGGTTATACACAGTCTCATATTTGAGTTTGAGGGGGGGTTATACACAGTCTCATGTTCAAGTCACCTCATGGCGCACTCCCTAAGTCGCCCCCTTGGTGCACCACCACAACTTTCTACAACGGTCCGACATGACCCCATAAACTGTCTTCTACAACGGACTGACACGACCACACAGTGTCTGCTACAACGGTCCGACATGACCCCGTAAACTGTCCTGCTACATCGGTCCGACATGACCCCGTAAACTGTCCTGCTACAAACTTATCCTGAAATGTCCTGCTAAATCGGTCCGACATGACCCCGTAAACTGTCCTGCTAAATCGGTCCGACATGACCCCGTAAACTGTCCTGCTAAATCGGTCCGACATGACCCCGTAAACTGTCCTGCTAAATCGGTCCGACATGACCCCGTAAACTGTCCTGCTAAATCGGTCCGACATGACCCCGTAAACGTCCTTCTACAACGGTCCGACATGACCCCATAAACTGTCTGCTACATCGGTCTGACACGACCATACCGTGTCTCCTATCCTGTTTTATTTATCAGTTTATTTTTCTGTTTTGTTACTCTCTTCAAACTTAAGTTGGTTAGTTCCTATCCTCCTTGAGTTTGAGGGGGGCTGTTAATGTACACTAAACCTAACCCACTAACCTAACCCACTACATCCACCCCACTAAACCTAACACACTTACCATCTCCACTACCACCCACCACCTCCACTACCATCCACTACCACCACTCACTTACCTCACACCTCTCCTATATAATAGCTTGTAACATACAAATCAAAATACACAACAATCTTGTAACAATATTAATCAATAATATCAATCAATACATAATTCATTCTCTCTGTTTTTCTCTCTATCATTTTCTCTTATAGAGACAATTTGGAATTTCTTGATGGATGATGCAGTTAGAAAAATTGGTGTTCAGGGAATGGAGGGAGTCGGCAAAACAACCATCATGAAACACATCAATAATCAACTTTTGGATGAAACTTGTAACTTTAGTGATGTTATTTGGGTCACAGTATCTGAAACATTCGAGATAAAAAATCTACAAAGACAGATAGCTAAAAAACTGAATCTTAATCTTTTCGATTATGAGGATGAATTATGTTCAGCGTCAGAAATACATAAAATTCTTTCCCAAATGAAGAGGTATGTGCTCATTTTAGACAATCTATCAAAAGCATTTCGTCTGGATGAGGTGGGTATTCCAGAACCAACTAGAGATAACGGATGTAAGCTAGTGTTAACTACACGATTGTTAGAAGTCTGTACAAGGATGAATTGCAGTACTGTTGAAATTCACGGAAGAGGAAGCACTGGATCTGTTTATGAATAATGTTGAAGGACATCAAACAGTGCTTACACCCGAGATGAAAGAAATTGCAAAAGAAGTTGCCAAAAAATGTGCGTGACTGCCGCTTGCAATTGTTACTATGGCTGGATGTATGAGAGGAGTGAATGACATTCGCGAGTGGAGAATGTCATGTTAGATTTTTTTTAAGGGTAAAAATTATGATGGTTGTTCTTATATTTTAGTTTTTTTATTATTTTGATCTCTATATTTTCAATTGATTTGATTTTAACTTTGAATTTATGACTTTGTTTTAATTTGATCCAATTTGATTACAATTTTTAACATTTTTTATGAAAAATATGGATATAAATGGCACGTGTCATATTTTTAACAACATAATTATAAAATTACTCAACTCAGTGATCATTTTTCTTTAAAAACACTAGTGGAATTATAAATTGAACCAAATTAACACAAAATTTAAAATTAAAGATCAAATTTAAGCTAATTGAAAGTGTAAGGATTAAAATGACAAAAAATAAAATGTATTTGCCCTTTTTTTTTTTTAAATATGACAAATTGTATTTAAATAAAAATGTGTACAAAATTTTAAATTAGCCCTAAAAGTAGCGAAATCACCGTAGCACATTGCATTAACTATTTATTTATGATTTGTGATACCAAAACTTAATTTCATGAAAGTTTCAGATTGCCAGGCTCGAATTAATATTGTTACTCCCATACATGTTTTGGATAGAACAAAATACCAGTAGCAAACAGACACATTGGTGATTACTCAAAAAAATCTTTGTAAGGGTTCAATTTTGGGAGCAAGCATCCTCTCCTTGCTCTCTCCGTCCTTACCTCCTTACTTACTGGGCCATTAGGCCCACTTTTAGGCCCAATTTCGATGATTCGAACCGTTTACATTTTAAGATTTGTTAAGTATATCATACCTGAAAAATCTAGAAATTCCCTAGATATTGATTTGTGATTATATATCAATTTTAAGCAGTATATAACAATCTCAATCAAACAATCAAGACAAATCGACACAACGATTTTACATGGAAAAATCACAATTGGACAGATAAAAAACCACGGGCAACAGCCACAAAACAATCCACTAAGAAGATATAAAGGAATTACACAGGTATACTCTCAATTACCTAACGAATCTACGCCCGAATTGAACCAACCCCTATGTGCCTCTTCCAACCCCGTCTTCACCTCGGAATTGTCTTGATGACGAGCCACTTCAGAATCCACCAAAGCTTCAGGCTCGAATTCTTCAGAATCCACCGAAGAACAACTCTCTTTTTTGTGTAGAACAAACAAAACCTTTGATGTATTCTTATATAAACCATGAGTTGAATACTCAATAAAATATCAAAGAAAACTAACAAAATATCCCTAGATATAAACCTTAATATCCAAAAAGAAGATCTGGAGGAATACCTTTAGTTTTGGAAGAAAATCAACTACTTACAGAAAACCAAAACTAATCCTAGTTTTGGAAGAAACCAACTTCTTATAGAAATCTGGATTTTGAAGTTCGCTCGAGCGAGAACCTTAATTCGCGTGATTTCCACTAGTGCCTTCACTCGAGCCACGAACCCTTCGCTCGAGCGAGGAATAAACTCTTTCAGGTTTTATGTAGACGCAGTCTTCGCTCGAGCCACCAAGTCCTTCGCTTGAGCGTATATTGATGTCTTTTAGGTTTTTAGCCAAACGCAGCCGTCGCTCGAGCGAGCAAGGGCGGATATGCAATTTTGAATGCAATTTTGAATGCAATTTTGCATTTTGCTTCAGGCGCGAGCTAACTGGGCAGCTCGACCCCCCGTCATAATCAGCGAAGTGGCAATCTTGAAAGCATTAACATCACAAACTTCTCTACAAGGCTCGATTCGGGTTGGATTCGCATCTAATAAACTCATAGCCTCACTGAAATAAAAAGTGCGAAAACAAATACAACTAAAAGAAGTTTTGTCAACCGGGATTGCCAAGAATAAAATACTAACAATACCTGTAAAAAATCAATTTAATCAGATATCAAAAACCATTTGTTCAGAAAATTATTTATTAATTTTTTTAAAAAAAATGGTTTTTAGTTCGATGATCCAAACACGTGGTTTTTGATATTCGATCAACTTGATTTTTTATAGGTATGATATAATTAACAAATCTTAAAATGTGAACGGTTCGGATTATCGAAATTGGGCCAATGACCCAGTAAGTAGGGAGGCAAGGAGAGGATTCTTGGTCCAATTTTGGTGGGCCTAATATGTGCAATAATTTGAAATTTTTTAGAATTTAGACAATATGATTTTAAATTTGGTCTTAGGTTTCACAATTTAACCAACCCGAATTATATTGTTAATATATAAATATATATGATAAATATAAATATTATAAATTACTGATTATTTTCTTATTGTTATATTAAATCATATTGCATTTGTGAAAAATCTACCATTATATTATTTTTGAAAATGTAATGACAAACACTTTACACATAAAAGTTCAAGTGTACACATGCACACATATAGACCTGGATTCCCTCCAATACATGATTTAGATTAGAGGATGTTGTCTGTGCTCATGAGATTAACTACGAGTCTCATTTTTATAATTTGAATCATTTATGTTAGGTTTTTATTCTTGGCAATCCCGTTTGACAAAATTCCTTTCAGTTGTACTTGTTTTCGCACTTTTATTTTAGTGAGGCTATGAGTTTGTTAGATGCGAATCCAACCCGAATCGTGCTTTGCAGAGAAGTTTGTGATGTTAATACTTTCAAGATTGCCACTTCGCTGATTATGACGGGGATCGAGCTACCCGGTCAGCTCGCGCCTGAAGCAAAATGCAAAATTGCATGTCCGCCCTTGCTCGCTCGAGCGAAGGAGTGCTCGCTCGAGCGAAGACTGCGTTTGGCTAAAAACCTGAAAGAGTTGATTGTTCGCTCGAGTGAAGGTTCCGTGGCTCGAGCGAAGCCACTTATGGAAAATACGTGTTTTTGGTTCCTCGCTCGAGCGAGAGAGTCTTCGCTCGAGCGAGCCTCGCAGTTCCAAATTTCTATAAATATGTGAATCAGTCAGATTTTAGGATTACTGCTCCAGATCTTCTTTTTGGATATTAGGGTTTATATCTGGGGATATTTTGCTAGTTTTCTTTGATGTTTTGATTGAGTATTCAACTCATGGTTTAAAGAGTATACATCAAAGGATTATTTGTTTATTCTATACAAAAGAGAGAGTTATTCTTCGGTGGATTCTGAAGAATTCGAGCCTGAAGCTTTGGTGGATTCTGGAGTGGCTCGTCGTCAAGACAATTCCGAGGCGAAGACGGGGTTAGAAGAGACACATAGGGGTTGGTTCAATTCGGGCGTGGATTCGCTAGGTAATTGAGAGTATACCTGTGTAATTCCTTTATATCTTCTTAGTAGATTGTTTTGTGGCTGTTGCCGTGGTTTTTTTATCACAATTGGAGGTGTTCAATTGTGGTTTTTCCACGTAAAATTGTTGTGTCGATTTGTCTTGATTGTTTGATTGGGATTGTTATATACTGCTTAAAATTGATACATAATCACAAATCAACTTCTAGGAGATTTCTAGATTCTTCAATTTATTTGGTCACTCTTCATATCATCCACGCAAAAAATTATGTTAATTTGATAATTGTATCCTATTCAATTTAAGCGTGCACACACAAAAAAATAAAGATAAATAATAATAATAGACAATAAATGTATTTTTAAAATAAATCATTCATTTTTTAGTGATAAACGGTATAAATTGAATAGACTATAAATATCATATCGATCTAATTTTTTTTATTTTTATATTGATGATATATACGAAGAACTCTATAAAATAAACAATTTGAATTATTAAAATGGAACCATTGTGGTGACCACATCTAGTCCATATTATGAACTAGAGGGGATCCTTGTCTCACATAGGACATTGTTATTTAAGATTAGATTTTGTGGATTTTCTAATAAAACACGATTAAAGTTGTACAGATTCTTGTAGAAATAATTTTCAATAATCTTATAATGACATGTGAGAAAATAAAGTTAAATACAAAAATAATAATAAACTCAATTTGCTGATACTAAATCTGCAAAAATAAATTTTTTAGACAAGTAATTTTTTTATATATATAAAAAGGTTACCAATATTAATGTCCCAGTAAAGTCTACAGAAAAGGATTACCAATATTAATACAAGCAATCACATATCATCACTCAACAGACAAATACAATAAGAGATTCATCTCAGCAACACTTTACAAGTTCTTCCTCTATTCTCTTTGTTTGAAGGGCTCTAACTTTATCATCAGAGTATCCCCGGCCAACAATCCCGGTTGAGTGGCGTCAACCATGTTTATCTTTGCAGATATACAAGGTAAAGCTCATCTCTTTATTAGATTTCTTCAACAATCCATGTGAGAGAATTTTCTGGGTTTCACAAAGACTAGAAGTTGAAAAGGCATTTTAAATACACTTCAAAATTTCTAAAACCAATTAAAAAAACCTTAATCAATCTTTTTTGGAGTTGAACGGAAAAATTATATAAAGGGCATTCGAAATAGTGATACTCAAAAAATAATATATATAAAAATAAATGATAAATTATATTTATGATCTTTAAGTATGCATTTTGTGTCACTGTGTCAAGTTTTAATTTTGCCAATTAAAATTTTAATTTATATTAATTTGGTCTTATTTAACTCATAGCTTAAATAGTTAATGGAATAATAATAATAAAATATACATATGACTTTGGTTCTTAAAGTTTTGTAATTTTGTTAATTTGTTCTTTAAACATTGATGAGAAAAATAAAACATGACTTATAATATTGAGAGATGAAATTAGCAATATTAGAACATTAAGGACCAAACTGACACATGACATATATACTTTAGTGATCATATTTAAAATTCATAATTATTTTATTAACAATTTAAACGATAGTTTAAAATTAGACTAATTTGATAATTTAAAGAAAAAAATTAATAAAATTAAAATTTAAAGGAC